TCATGCTGACCGAACCAGACCTACAACAATTATGTCATTAAGATTTCAGTAATATTTGCTAAATGTTGTACATAATGCACATGAAAAAAATGATAACGACTTAAAACAAGCCTTTCAAATTAACTTAAATCAAAGATATGTTTGATAATTGGTCAACAATATTGACATCCAATATCACTCAATAAACACTGTTCCCATGAACTTTAGCTATAGATTTATCATCTCCTATATGAGACAAGTTTGAATATGACATCTGCAACAAATGCATATGGGCAGGCCAGGGTTATGCACATTTTCCTCGAATGGGGCATGCTTGATTGAATCTGATGTCATCATCTAATAACAGTAGAAAATTTAAATCTTGATTTTTATGCTAATTTCAGGCGGTTAGTTTTAATTAGCTGATCACTGTATGCTGTTCTGAATATGAAATTTGCATCCACTTCTCAAATTTATCAAAATAAATTTTGAAGCATGAACAGGAAAAAAATGTACATATGGTTCCGAGGTATTTGAAATCCTTACTGTAAATATTGAGATAAAAATCATATAAAGCATAAGGGTATTGCTACTTTTTTTGGTAGTAGACTAATACCCTTATTTTTTATATGATTTTTATCTTAATTTACAGTCAGAATTTCAAACACTTGTGATTGGATACTTGATATCAAAGTTTTACTTTCTACATAACGTATTAAACGTGTCGCAACCTTCCAAGACCGACTTGTCCCTTTGTCAAGCTATGACAGCACCAATACCAGTTCTGTATTTCAGACATGCATTTGTAACGAACCCCTGTGTGCAGGGTTAACATTTTGCCAGTAACCAAATACTTGTGGGATTTCGTTATGGCTACGGCATCCTAACTATAAATATGACGATTTTCTGCTACGATACAAACAATTTTGGCTCAAACCTAAATAGATTACAGTTCAATTGCTGTCATAACCAAGACTTACCGCACTGTCGACTGCATTTTCCAAAATCTACTGCCACAATCGGGTATGTTTCCGGTTTAAGGGAGCGAGCATTATTTTCCGCGAATTTCGTTGGCGATTTAAGCGCCGGCTGTTGTCTTAATGAGAACTAAAATTCTAGAATGAATTCTAGAATTCATTCTAGAATTTTAGTTCCTCATTAAGACGACAAGCGGCGCTCCAGTCATAAACGATGTCGAAATCGCGATCGGTAAAACTAGCATAGCATGGAATGAACACGCAATAGATTTGTAAACGAGTGAAACAATACAAATGAACATAGAATTAATACAAATGAACATAGAATTAGATTCAAAACCAGAAGTAACTAATTCTATAACTTATCAACTAGAGAAATAATACAAATGTACATAGAATTAGATTCCAAACCAGAAGTAACTAATTCTATAACTTATCAACTAGGGAAATAATACAAATGTACATAGAATTAGATTCCAAACCAGAAGTAACTAATTCTAAAAAAAATAATTATGGCGGTGATCCCCTTCCATAGGCTAGCGCTCGCCATGTCTCGTGCTGACCAGCCAAACTCTTACACTCGGGTTGAGATATCCCTGTCCACGAAATAAACCCATGTAAGATTATATAAATATCACACCGGTAAAAGTATGGATGCACCTGTCTAAGGTAAAAGAAAGAAATGTATCACACCCCTTTCTTACCCTGGGCAGCTCAATCTTACAAACACGGAAATGAGAGAAATCCTTGTCTCGGCAAAGCCTCCTGTTTGGCAACTTAAGAATCTTCTGCCTCGGGTTGATATCCGTTATCTTACTCCCGAGGGATGATAAATTATATTATTCTTTCATTTCCGTGTGTTGAAAATATGGTTGTCCATGATAGGTAAGGGGTGTAAGAAATTACACTCCCAAGGGAGGCAGAGATTCTTTCAGTCAACTTTCAGAGCTTTCGTGGATTTCGACAGGGTAGTAAGGCCGTTACGGTCCACAGCTTTCGAGTTGCGATCTAAGTGACAACTTCACACATGTTCTCGTGAGCTTGTCCTCTAGCGAAGATTTTTTTTGTGTGTTTATATTGTTACGACTGGGTTTCTGTATCATCCGACCTAAAACAGGGATCTTTGTTGTTACTGATTGCATTCAATTGTTTTATTAATTATTCGTAAATAAGACATGAGATAGGAAACAGTACGGAGGTTGATGGAGAAAGGCTCGGAAATATGTGAGAATCAGACGATTTTGATTATTTTTGAGAGAATGGGGATAACTTGAATGCGTGACTATGAGTTCTTAGCTGAATTTTAGATTTAATGTTCCGGGAATTAGATACATTGGTGAATACCAGTAACTGGGAGTAGTGGGAATATTTTGACTACGATACTTATGCTAATGTATTCCTAGTTCAGCGATTAGAGCATTAGGTCTCCTTATGTCTAAACCTAACTCTCTATATGCGGGTTACCATATGACGTGTGTTCCAAGATTTATAACACAATGGTTTGGTAAAATATTAGCTTCGGGCTAGCTTTCTGGTGGCTCCAAAAATTATAACGCCAAAGCGTTCCCTTTTTTGGCGTTATTTCGTTATTTCGCTGTGGTGGGTTTTCGTCTTTTCTTTATTTCGTTTCATTTCTTGGCGTCTCTTCGCGGGTGACAAAGCAAAAATGCTAAATGTCTTATACATGTACAAGCCGGTATAAGCCACCATGCTTTGGCGACATTGTTTTTAAACCTTTAAGATTACCTGGTTTTATACTTTCTAGATTATCTGATTGTTAATCTTCTAGATAAACTGGTTTTAAACCTTCTAGATTAAATCGTTAAAAATCTTCAGGATCACCTGGTTTTTAACCTTCTAAATAACCTGATTTTTAAAACCTTAAAGATTACCTGGTTTTAAACCTTAAAGATTTTCTGGTTTTGAAATCTGCTAGATAACCTGGTTTTCAACCTTTAAAATCACCTGCTTTTTAAACTTCTTAATTACCTGGTTTTAATTTGATTGCCACCTTTCAAACCTTCTATATTATCTTGTTGGTAATCTTCTAAATTATCTAGTTTTAAACCTTCTAAATAACATGTTTTTAAACCTTTTAGATTATCTGGTTTTAAACCTTTTAGATAATCTGTTTTTTTAAACTTTTAAGATTACCTGGTTTTAAACCTTCTAGATTACCTTGTTTAAAACCTTCTAGGTAACCTGGTTTTTAACCTCCTACACATCCAGGTTTTAAATCTTCTAGATAACCTGGTTTTAAACCTTCTAGATAAACTGGATTTATATTTTCAGATTACCTGATTTTTAACCTTTTAGATTACCTGTTTTACAAACCCTTTTAGATAACCTGGTTTTAAACCTTCTAGATTACCTGTTTTTCAAACGTTGTAGATAACCTGGTTTTTAACCTTTATAACTCCCTGCTTTTTAAACTTCTGTTGTTTTACCTTCTTGATTGCCACGTTTCAAACCTTCTCGATTATATTGTTTGTAATCTTCTAGATCATCTGGTTTTAAACCTTCTAAATAACGTGTGTTTTAACCTTCTAGATTACCTGGTTTTAAACCTTTAGGATAACCTGATTTCAAACCTTTTAGATTACCTTGTTTTCAACTTTCTAGATTACCTGGTTTTAAACCTTTTAGATCATCTGGTTTTAAACCTTCTACATATCCTGGTTTTAAATCTTCTAGATAACCTGGTTTTAAAGATTCTAGATAACCTCGATTTAAATGTTCAGATTACCTTATTTTTAACTTTTTCGATTACCTGTTTTTCAAACCCTTTAGATAACCTGGTTTTAAACCTTTAGAACTCCCTGGTTTTAAACCTTCTCGATTACCTGTTTTTAAACCTTCCAGATAACCTGGTTTAACATCTTCAAGATTAGCTGGTTTTAAACCTTTAAGGTCACCTGGCTTTAAACCTACTAGATTACCTGATGTTAAATATGTTAGATTAACTGGTTTTGTCTTTGACATGTTTTTGTGGTGCTTGTGCCTTCCTTTTCTGGGTTTTGGTGTCGCACCAGTTCATGTTTTTATCTATTTGTATAAATTCTGAGAATTTATTTTGTCCTGGTGTATATATTTAGCTGCATTATTATTGTACTTCAGTTGGTGCTTCGACTTCTTGTCAAAACTAGCATGCTTACGTTAGTATCGAAATAAGAATCGCAATGACATATGTGATATTAACTTTTAGACCAGAAAACACACCTGTAGAGTTAAAATAGAATCACCAGATATAAGCTATCTGTGACGTCATCTTAAAGTTAAAAAAAGCAATGACACACGTCGAGTTGTGTATGACAATTAACGCTGTATACATTGTGTAAAGCCGTATTCACCCCTCAATAAGCATTCTATTGTTATTGTAGGAGGTGTGACATCAGAGAATGACCTCCACACATTGAGGTGTTCAATACCTGCAAACACATTTTTTTTAATTTTTCGTATTTCCGTCACAAAAAGAAGTTTTTTTACAGTATCTGAAACTGTGTGTGTCTGTGCATGGATTTAACCAAACATATGAACATTTAACCAAACATATGAACATTTAACCAAACATATGAACATTTAACCAACACTTCCTGTGACACTACGCGAACTCTAACCATTGTAACACGGATTCCTGGTGATCTATGAGTTTGAAAAATATCCAATTAGCTGTGTGTGTGTTACGTCCATCCTAAAGATGTTTGGATTCAGCTCTGTAATCTTTATTTATCTGTATTCCATTTTGTTATTTTGTCTCTGCCAATTTCATTTTTATGTTACTAAGATAAGAGATAGATGATATTGTTTGTGAACTAATATCTTGATGCTTTGTAGTAGGTGGATGTCTTTGTTACAGAGCCCACTGTCGTTTCATTATATTAACTCCAGAGAACAGTTAAGAATCTTCAAACGAACTGTCGATTCGTTTTCCATACGCTTGAAAATGTGTAAAAATAGATTGCTGTGTAGAGTTTGTGTTTACTGTGTTAAATATTATATCAACACGAAGTATATGCTATATGTATAAGACAACAGACAAATGAGAACAATATAATAGATATTTAATGCCATGAACATCTCCTGAATCGTGCCAAGGTACTAACTTTAATTTCTCAAAGTTATCAAACAAACATATTATAAAAGAATGTTCTGAATTGGGTAATTTCCACAAAACTACGAGTCAAGCTTACACACATATTCATGGGAAACTTCAGAAAATGGAGATATACATTACGTAGACATATATCACATGGAAAGTAGATATAAATAACGGAAAATACCGTCAAATACCCAGAACTCCCCGGCCAAAAACTACCCGGAACTCCCCGGCCAAATACTACCCGGAACTCCCCGGCCAAATATTATCCAGAACTCCCCGGCCAAATATTATCCAGAACTCCCTTACCATTCTCCTTTAATTCAGCAATATGATGTTGTAATCAAAACAGCGATACGCCTACCACGGCTGCCTGAGCTTCTTAGTTTAAATAAATAGGTGGTGTTACAGATAAAAATTACTCTTTTGGCAAATATTTCGATTGCTCATTCGTTAAGAGCAAGATTGAACAGAGAATTTATTAAGTCAATGAATTATTTCACGCTTTTGCAGTGTTCATAATGAAAATATCCTGATCGCAGCATCCGGTGTGACGATACCAATGTAACTACGTTTTCACCGTCGGTTGTTTGCAAATCCAGAATTCTGAACGTGTAATAGAACTTTTATACATAGGCCAGGGAGTACCGAATTATCATTCAAAGTACTCAAGAAAATGGTCTGTGCCAAAACCATTTTAAAGTGCCCACATACTCATTCTATCTAAACACATAACATATCAAATGGTATCGAAAACATAAGTCGGAACAATATTAAAAGTATTAACAATACGCCTCGATCAAAATATTTGCCTTATTTATATCATAAATATGAAAGACAAATACAGCCTACATTTAACACAGATTACCAAAATCTTTTTAAAAACAAAATTAATTTCAAACAATCGATATTGTAGTTTCATTCATATTGTATTACCACGACGGTGTCATGTTTTGTTTTATAGATTTCATTAAAATAGCGATATAAACCGCTAAAATGTTACCGTTCGGCGAAGCTTATTAGTCTATGTATGTTGAATGACAACAGTTTATGCATGGCAAATGATAACAGTCACATCAAAAAGATAGAAATTGTAAAAGTCACATTAAGGAATACTATACGTCAAGTTCTACTGACAATATCATACAATAATAAAGCGGGCTCAATTTTGATTCAACCAATCGCTTAACGCGACGTTTGATCTTAGCAGTTTTATCCTGCTCATTCAACAAACTGCATTTCCCCACAATTACCAATATAAACAACACTTGTTAACGGAAACCACATTATTTGTTATGATGATTCAACAACAATAAGCCACACACTATAAAAATTAGCATTGGCATTATCCCTGACCTTTAATATGAGTTTGTATAATGTAGACAGTTATCAATTTGTAAAGTATCCAATCATGAAAACACAGTGATGCCGTGTGAGGGTTATTCATATTAACCTTATCATATTTAACCCCCTGCCCTTCCGACAAACAAAAATATAATGACTGCCTTGTTATGTTAGCATTCAATGTAAATTTTAAGGAACATTTTCGATAATTCTGATTGAGTGGGAAATGCAGTATGTTGAAAGAAAAATATATCAGCATATTGGTTTTACCCAAACATACATATAAATAGCATTCCCTTAATACATGGTCTCGAAAAAGAACCTGAAGTAGACTGAAATAAAAAAAAAAGCTTATAAAAATACAATATTCAAGGATTTGTATCTTAAAGCTGTGCCTCAAACCCTGAGGAGGCTAACAGAAGCTGGGAATATAATACAGTTCAGCACTATAGGCAACCAATACGACCTCAGTAACACAGCACACGTCTAAAGGAAATACATTCTATACAGCTTTTCGTTCGCGAGGTGTAATTTTCTCGTTAATGTGGGAAATTGTTTAATCGTACAGTGGTTACTCTTATGGTTTCGTAATTGTAAGATTTCTTTTCTCTATTAGAAATGTTAATTATTGTATCTATTTTACCGTGAAAATTACCCTTCCACGTAAATAACCCTATATGAATGTTACGTAGTGGATTTGCAAAGTGTATATTCAACTGTTATCACGCAAATAAATATTATACTAATAAATATGTTCAACAGAAAGCCAATTCATATAAATGACTAGTGATCTGTGTGCGTTTGATTTAAATAATAGAACATGGAACTATTAATTGATATTTTTTAAGCAGATTTGTAAATATCAGATAAAGACAAAGAACATATTTTGTGATGACATATATCACAAAATTACACACATGACAACATATTGAGTATTTACTTCATAAAGTATTCGTAAGCATATGTAGTGGTGAAACCAACATCCTCAATGCCTCGCTTACCTCCCTTCCTATTCATGCCACCACGGCTGGTTACCATGACATGACACCAAAGCGGTAAAGGACGTTAAGGTAAGTGTCTCTTCTAAACGTGGTTAAGTTTTCTCTATGATCTATTCGACACCAACATTCAGTGAACTAGCTCACGTGTCCGCTACTTCCAGTGCTGAATTTCGACAAAGAAAGCAAGGGAATGGTTACAATATACTTAAAACTAAGCTGCAGAAAGCACTAGTCTTATAAGACTTAATTCACCATTTTGATAAAAGGAGCGTCATTTGTAAATCACGATTTTCACGACGACCAAAGGAGTACTTTTAACGTTCACATGAGTGTAAAGACACTCAATGTTATGTTCATATGAGTATAAACTCTTGTAATTCCATATGAGTACCTAGACACGCTTGCATTTTCACAAATGAACAATGTACCGACCGAATGGAGAGATTGTCATATGTATTCAAAGTTCTCACAATTAATATATCTGTAAAAAATTCAAGATAGTCTTTGTTTCGAGAACAAAGAGGGATATACATGGATTTTATTTTGATGTGAACAATTAAGGGACAAAAACATTTACCTCTGTTTACATCCTTCATACGATCTGTATATATTAGACATTAAGAATTACCCTCAACCTGGATCCGACCGGAAGTCACAAGTAAACACCAAAATATCATTAACAAAAAAAGAAAATAGATATAACTGCGACAGACATGACAAACAAATTGTGTATCTTATAAAAAAACTTAACATCATTTACCGAACAAAAACATAGATATTTCACAGTAAGTATAAAATATTGGTCACATATATCAAGTGTATTGTCTTTCCGGAAATGAAGATACTACACTCGTACTTGTATACAGCGCAAGGGACGTTTCACATTTAAACATTCGTTGATTGCCTACTCGGTAATTAGTGTCACAAGGGAGGATCTTAACAATGATTTGATCGAAATTACTGTGTTAGTCCATACGTGGCCTGATTTGGTGAGAACTATTTTTGTCGTAAAAGAAGAATAATTAGGGACATCGCTGCACTCTTGCCTTTAAATCACTTCATGGTTATACAGAATCGTGTCAAAAGTATTAGCAATTTGCCTCGACTCGCACTTTATTTCATGCATATAATTTTTTTCATATCATTACCAGGAGCCAAGTATAGCGACTCTGGTATGAAATGTGACATCCTGAAAAAAAATTACTGATGTTTTATCGGACAATAATATTATATTATTTTGTTGGAGGATTTACAAAATATGCAAACTTTGCTGAAATAAAACTATTTGGACATTATTTTGAAAGACAAAGAACAAAATAGCATAGTAAAATCGATCGCATCGGAATAACTTGGTCATACCTCGAAAACCAGTAACCTCAAACTTAGTAAAAAAATAAATAATGGGATTATCATTTAAAAACATATTTCAGAATATTGAAATTTAATTTCAGTAGCGCTATAAATAGCCCAAAAAATTCCGAGGAAAATGTAAAAAAGCATTAAATTGACGTCAATTTTGGCAAATCGAGATTATTTTTGTTACGAAACTGTACATGTATTCAATATTTGGTATTGTTTTTAATATTAACAAATAAACTAATCAAATGACCTTTTAAACATATGACCCCACTGGAATGAATAGATATTTAATTTGAGGGTTGAAAGAGTGTTTCCATAATGGCCTTCATTCGTACAACTATATAAATGTGCGACTTATTTGTATATTTGCACCCGTTTGCATTTTTAATGTTTCATACGAAAGATAATTATTTCCATTTTCCGTTTATTATCAATTCTGGCGAAAATGGTATATCAGGATAACAAATGTAGTTACGTTGTTACTTTCCCTATGCTTCACCAACGTTTTCACGATTTATCTTAAGCAGGATAAATCAAATTATAAAAACGATGTTAACTTAACCATTTTAATCAATTCATCAACCATGTTATCCTGACTAAGGTAAGCAATTATATTAACGTTGCTTTCTTGACACGGGTTAACGTGATTAACTTCGCTAGTTTGACCCTCTGCTAGTCAATGCCTTACAGATGTAAAATCGACAAAGGTAGTTCGATATTTTAGCTAAATGTAACTTACCTTGGACAGGATTTGCCAAATTACTTAACTATATACATAAACGTGAAGGCAAACCAGGCATATGTGATGTTTGGGAAAGAAAGTTCCAAAAATATTGTAAACACTTCAAAAACACAGATCCGAGTTGACTTCAGTCACCACATTTAATATTAGTTATACAATTAGACTTATCTCCCATTTATCCAATACACCGTTTTTAATGCACACTGTCTAGTTCTCTTCCATATGTAATAAGTGAAACAGAACGGAATCAAAATTTCGTATTTCGTACAAGAGATCTAATTTATAACCGAACAAATAAGAGAACGCAAAAAGACACTCTTGTTTGAACGAATGTCTAGTTGAGATACCGACAGTACTTGGTCGAATGCAAAAACCAAATGTTTGACGGAATTTTAGACCCGGACTTGAACATCCGGAAGTGTATGAACAGTACGGGGCTACGTAATGTTTATGTTTATTGCTATCAACACACACTAGTTCTAGCATCAACAGTGGAGGTACAGAATTAAGTCATTACCTATCAACAGTGGAGGTACAGAATTAAGTCATTACCTATCAACAGTGGAGGTACAGAATTAAGTCATTACCTTTCAACAGTGGAGGTACAGAATTAAGTCATTACCTATCTCTTTTAAAGTCAAAATCGTCAGATCGCCTCGTACGTACCGTACACAAAAGCAGGCTAAATTAGCCTCCTCTAGTTTACATATAAATATGCAATTGTTCTACACGGCCAAAAAATTTAAAGCATGGTTAGTCTCACCAATAATTACTAAAATAAAAAACACAAAAGTGTAAAACAAACTTTACAATGAATCTCGTAGGAAACATTACTACACGTATTGGTTTTGTTATATGTCACTGAACAAAGTGATTGAACAGAAACATGGAAATGTATTATTTCTCCATTTTGCGAATAAATAATCAACATACGCTACTAGCTTAATAACAAATACCAAATTTGCTTAAGTAATGTTTTACCCAAATACGTCACAAATCATTGACATAATGAAAAATACATTTGAGATACCTTGCAATATTGACAGCACATTTCGTTAACCATTAACGTATAGCTTGAATCAGTAACGAGCTTAGCTTTGACCAACAGTGTCATGTAAAGCACGAAACAGTGTCAGGCTAAGCTTTAATAATCGAAAGTGTCCTCTGCAGCAGGAAAACGTGCCAAGTTAAGTTTTGACCGTCAGTGTCTTGTACAGCCAGAAACAGTGTCGAGCTAAACTTTGACCGACAGACAGTGTCCTGTATAGGACGAAAAGGTATCTAGCTAAGCATTGACCGACAATATATTGTACAGCACGAAAAGGTGTCGAACTATATTTTAGCCAAAGTGTCATGGCAGTGGCTACCAGTATCGAGCTTCGAACAAATATGTCCTGTTCAGCACGACTGTGTCCTGTACAGCTCAAAACAGTGTCGTGCTAAGCTTTGATCTAACTTGTCCTATACAACAGTTAACAGTGTCTATCAACTTTTAAACAAATTATCCTGTACACAAGGAAAGAGTGTCGTGCTAAGCTTTGAATAACTGTTTCCTATACAGCAGGAACGAATGTCGAGCTAAACTTTGAACGACTGTGTCCTGGACAACAGGAAATAGTGTCGAGCTAAACTTTGAATAACTGTTTCCTGTACAGCAGGAACGAATGTCGAGCTAAACTTTGAACGACTGTGTCCTGGACAACAGGAAATAGTGTCGAGCTAAGCTTTGAACGACTGTGTCCTGGACAACAGGAAAGAGTATCGAGCTAAGCTTTGAACGACTTTGTCCTGTAAAACATGACATAATGTCGTCCAAGTTTATTTTCAACAAACGTGTCCTGTTCAACAGGTAAGCATTTCGAGCTAAATTGTGAATGACTGGGTCCTGTACGGCAGGACAGAATGTCGATCTAAGCTTTGATCGAACGTGTCCTGTTCAACAGGAAACAATGTCGAGCCAAGCATTGAACGACTTCGTCCTGTACAGCAGGAGTGAATGTCGAGCTAAGCTTTGACAGAAAGTCCTGTATAACATGAAACATTGTCGATTTCAATTAGACAGAGACTGTTATGAAACAAAACAATGTCGAGCTAAGTCCTGATGTCCTATTCGATTAATTCAAGGGCTTTGTTACATTGGTCCCCGTTAATTTACGTTAACAAGCATGTTTTCATTGACGATGAAGATACAAATAAAAATGATGGTCTATTAAAGTGAATATCTGCATAATGATTGAGTATCTAAACTGAAGGTTCTCTGCAGATATCACACTTGAGCTAATAAAATCACATTCAAAGACTTATTTAGATTTTAAACATACAATAACATTTAGTCTCACACACTCGTTTAGATAACAACTTTGTTCTTAAGGATCTTCCCATGAACTGCTTTTTCTCATTTCGAGGAAACATTGTTGTACTTGTCTACACTTTATATCGACGTCGGCATGCGATGTTGCCCGAATCTTTTTGGTTCATCAGCAACGACGATTCCGGAACCATTTTTGAGGATGATATCCGAGGCAGTACGTCTGAATATCATGCTGCAAACATTGAATGCCATGGAACAGCTGTAGGTTACGTCATCAACCTCAAATATCACACATGCGTAATCACCATGTCCGGTCTCTGGAACAATTGCCCCGCCATTAATATAAGGCCAGGGTATATTAAATAAACCAATATATTATTCCTACATATTGAACAATTAGAAAAAGCTAAGGTTCAAGATGTTTGTTGTAAAAGTCGTTTATATAGTTGTGAGTTTAGAAATCGGGGATAGGAGTCTCGATGCATTAATGTATAGATTTGTAACTGTGCCTCGTCAAAGGTGTGTGGGGTCGGGTCGACCATATTTCGGTTTATAACTTCCCGAACTCTGGAATCTAGGCTCACCTGTAATACCAACAAGAAATTGTGTAAAATATATATATATCATGTCATATGATATTTTTAATGATAAATACAGAATACAATGTATATCAACTAACTGGTCGATTTAATAGCACTATGGCGCTTCATCTGTGTTGATAAATTATTGTAATTTCAAAATCAGTTAACAGGTAAATCATTAATACAAACACAAATCCAATCAAATCTCACATAAAAATAATCAAAGAAAAGAAGAAAAAGAGAAAACAAATCAAAGCAAAAATGCCTTATGTCATTTTAAGATGTAAGAAAAGGGTAAACCACTTACCTCCTTAGGAGAGAGAATTGATATATAGTCTTCATTAATTAACCTTGCTTTTTCCTCCACCACTTCCGGATTATCCTCCTTCTTCAGTTCCTCACAAGCTAACCAGAATAACATATTTTCTTCACTGTATTCTGATCGTAAAAATTCTCTAAAAAACGTTCGGCCACCTGTAAAAGTGTGAAATTGAAGAAGAGATATGTCTATGTTTGTTGAATGTATAGATCACATTTTCATTACAAGATAGAACAGCTTATGTTTTCCACATCTATATGTATACAATGTACATTCATAAATATTTAAGGAAATTATACCTAAGGTGGGTACACGGAGTGATGCTTGGAACATTTTCTTGTCCCAGATGTTGCAGCAGATTCTTTAATTTGCCTTTTATTAGCGTTATAATAATTAGAGGAAAATTTACGATGCATTCACTATGATTCATATGCTTGACCTTCTAATTGCACTGTTTTAAACTCATGATATATTTGTCTATCTCTGTCATCCTATGCTTAATTTGTTTATTTCACTGCTAAATCACGGCTATATGTGTCTGGCTGTCAAAATAAGAGATACATATTAAGTGTGTGTATCCTGTTAGAAAAGAGGTTGGACATGATCAGGCGGTGTTCAAACTATTACATCCCAGGTTAAGTTCGAACAGTGATTCGAGGAATTTCAAAATGCACATGAAGAGGGACAAACTGGATCAATTTGTTTTGTGTTACAAAACTGCAGCCATCTGCGATGATGTTATCTGTATCTTTCGCTGTATTTCACCGTGCTAAAGATTTCTTTCTCACTATTAGCTGCAAGCTAAATGTGGCAACACTCTGTCATCTCCATGCTATATTGTCTATCTCGCTTTTATCACTGGGGTAGATTTATAAATCTCATTGTAAACCCAAGAGTATAATAAGTACATGTATCTAGCTCACTGTTAATGTTGTCCAAGTTTTCTGCGATACCATTTTTTTCTGTAGAGCCGCGTTAAATTCATGTAACCTCCATGCTTAGTTTTCTTTCGAACCATTTTCCCTAAGATTAATTTGTCTATATCGGTCATAACCCCGTTTTTTCTGTTGTGTGTTCTACTTACTTTATTCCTGATACTATTGTTGAAACAATCGATAAAGATGAAGGTAACATTTTGACATAATTGCCAAGTTATAAAATATTAAAACGTATTTTAAAACGATCGATACAAAACAAAGTTTAAAATAATTTCGTTCTCCTTTTTATTTTATTATTTGCTTATTTCATTAATATCCCCGTTCTAGATTTGCTTATTTCACTAATATCCCCGTTCTAGATTTGTATATTTCATTAATATCCCTGTTCTAGATTTATATATTTCACTAATATCCCCGTTCTAGATTTGTATATTTCACTATTATCCCCATTCTGGATTTGTATATTTCACTATTATCCCCGTTCTATGTTTATATATTTTACTATTATTCCAATTCTAGATTTGTATATTTCACTATTATCCCCGTTCTAGATTTGTATATTTCACTATTATTCCCGTTCTAGATTTGTTCATTTTACTATTTCACTAATATCCCCGTTCGAGATTTGTATATTTCACTAATATCCCATTCTAGATTTGCTTATTTCACTAATATCCCCGTTCTAGATTTGCTTATTTCCCTAATATCCCCGTTGTAGATTTGATTATTTCACTAATAGCCCCGTTCTAGAGTTGTATATTTCACTAATATCCCTGTTCTATATTTGTATATTTCACTAATATCCCTGTTCTAGATTTGTATATTTCACTAATATCCCCGTTCTAGATTTGTATATTTCACTATTATCCCCGTTCTATGTTTATATATTTTACTATTATTCCAATTCTAGATTTGTATATTTCACTAATATCCCTGTTCTATATTTGTATATTTCACTAATATCCCTGTTCTATATTTGTATATTTCACTAATAGCCCCGATCTGGATTTGTCAGCTGTGTTTTTTCGTGGTTCACACAATGACTTGTGGATTGACTAGACGAAGTATACTTGAATAGTGCCTCAAAAGTTATAAATATTGAACATGATATAGTCTAAAACCTGTATGAAGGGTGCAGCATTACCACCGGTAAACAGTAGTTAATGGCATGTAGAGGACTATGCTTGAGTGTGACATTCTCCATGATTGACAACAAAACATTGTGGACACGCTCCCTGTAACATTGGTATTGGCAACGATAGTTTTATCGATGTCAACTTGCAACACGAATCTTGTCTTTCGGAATTCAGTAAAATGTTTTTTTGCTGGATAAAAGAACTTACTGTTACTCCGCATTAAACGGTCAAATGATTCTGACCAAGCTGCTATTTCTTCTACGGATGGTCTGTTAAAATACAACACAAAAATATGCATCTTTAAATAGCATAGTTCTGTAATGAACTGTAATTAACCATAAGTATGTAAAATGACGCGAACCTCAAACCTAACCCATCAAACTTGTGTCATATTTATGTTCTTACTCTTGCCGTTATGGTACATGTAGGTAGAAATGGCTTGATCCTAAAAATAAAGGGCAAGTCTCAGATAAACATGGATAGCGGATTTATCCTGCACAACACACCTACATATATATATACTACATTTTGAATACATTTGTTTTAAAAGAATGATTTTATTTTCAAAATGGGATTTCCCCAGATCTGGGACTTGCAAAAACCATGGTTACCACATCAATTTTTTTTTTAAAAAATGCATTAAAACCGGTCTTAAATTGAATATCACCAACTCGTTAACAGAAATACTCACGTTTTAGCATAGGTCGTTTAACTGGATTTTTCACAATATTTATACATGGGCTAATTACAAAAGTAGACTACATGAAAAGCTAGCTGTTGTTGTGTAGACACAGATTTGTAAATAGCCAAAAATGTAGTCTCAAACCAAATTCGATTTTTATTTTAAATGTAAAGCCCACAAAGTCCACTTCATTATGTATATGCCAATTTTAGTGTTGATTTTATTTTAAACTTTGATACATCTAATATTACATGGGTTATTCATTGTACAACAATATCACCCATGACCAACAAACGCTACTGTACACTGCTTCCTTTTTGACCCTGTGAGTAACTTGTGACATTAAGCCGTATAAATATTGATTTACCAACCCCAATGAATTCAAGAGAATATTTTTTTGCATTCGAATATTGTATACATAATTCCAGAAAATCAGCTTCGCAAAAGCTACTATGAAAAAGGTAACATATCAATGTTTTCACAAAATTTACATTACCTTCGCTGTGATGTTAATTCCATATGACCACAAAAGGCATTGCAGAGTAGTTTATGCACAAAAGTTATATATTTTACGGTTTCTTTTCTATATACATATACAAATGAACGTTTTATCTTATATCCTGAAATGAGGCCTCATGGTTGTAAGGATACTTGTTTTAAGTAAGAGGCCCAATGGACCTGCATCGCTCACATGGTATACATCTCACACTTGTAACCTTAAAAGTGATCTTACATAAAGGTAAAGGCAAAATATCAGCATTTATGATTAAAAGTAATTCAAAAGAACCTGTTAAACAAGAGACCCAATGGGCCTGCATCGCTCACCCGGTATTAATCTCACACTTTTAATCTTAATAGTGGACTAAATAACAGCTACAGGCAGAATATCAGTGTTTGATTCATAAGAACCTATTAAAAGATTTAAACATATGACGCTTGGACCTCGAATGTCGAACAAGGACATTAGGTTGAAAGTTGTTCAAAGCCACAGGCCCAATTTCAGTACCCTTGGCCTTTTGGTTATTGAGAAGAAGTTGTTTGAAGATTTTAAGACATTTGACTCCTGTGACCTTGAAAGTGTGTCATGGTCATTCATTTGAACAAACTTTGAAGCCCTTCATCCCTGCATGCTACTGGCCAAATATCATCAGCCTGGGCCTCTTGGTTATTGAGAAGAAGTTGTTTAAAGTAAAATGTTGACGACGGACGGACGACGGACGGACGATGGACGCCGCACTATGCCATAAGCTCACTTGGCCCTTCGGGCCAGATGATCAAAACAAAAAAACATTTCACCCCTGTGTCTTTGAAAGTCGAACGAGGTCATTATGTTCATAGCCCTTCATCTCAGGATGCAACTTGCAAAATATATCCACCTTATCCTTTTGTTTATTGAAATAAGGTCTTTTAAATGTTTCAACATATTTGACTAAATGTGACCTTGAAAGTGGGGGGAGTTCATTCAAATGAAAAGGCTTGATAGCCCTTCATCCAAGCATGCTACTGGCTTAATATCAACATTATGGGCCTAATAGTTATTCAGAAGAAGTTGTTTAAAGATTTTAAACAAATTTGACCCATGTAACCTTGAATATAATTCAAGTTTATTCATTTGTACTAATTTGGAAAACCCTTTATCCTATCAGGTTACTGGCCAAATATCAAAATCCTGGGCCTTTTGATCATCAAGAAGAAGTCGTGTAAAGATTTTGAACATATTATATCCCTGTGACCTTGATTAAATGTAAAGGTCATTCATTTGAACAAAATTTGTTGGCACTTCATCCCATCATGCTACAGGTCAAATATCATCATCCTGCGACCCTTTGGTTAAACAGAAGAAGTTTAAAGTTTTTGAACATATCTGATCCTTGTGACCTTACCATGTAACAATAGTTCAAGGTCATTCATTTAAACAAACTTATTAGCCCTTCATCCTAGGATGCTACTGGCCAAATATCAATTTCCTGGGCCATTCGATTATTCAGAAGAGGTCGTTTAAAGTTGGTTTTTAGACAGTTGACCCCTGTGACCTTGAATATAAGTGAAGGTCATTCATTTGAACACACTTAGTAGCCTTTTATCCCAGCATGCTATTGACCAAATATCACCATACTGGTTCTTTTGGTTATTCAGAAGAAGTTATAAAACAATTTTGAAGACAATTGTCCACTGTGACCTTGAATATTGGGCAAGGTCATTCATTTGCACAAACTTCATAGCCCTTCATCGCAGCATGCTACTAGCCAAATATCATCACCATGGGCATTTTGGTTATTAAGAAGAAGTCGTTTAAAGTTTTCAACATATTTGACCCCTGTGACCTTGACAATTGGTGAAGGTCACTTATTTTATCAAACCTGGTAGCCCTCCATCCCAGGTTGCGTCTGGCCAAATATCATCACCCTATGCCTTTTGGTTATTAAGTAGAAATTGTTCAAGTTTAAATATTGACGCCGGAAGACGGACGACGGACGGACGACAAACGAACAACGGACGCCGCACCACGGCATAAGATCACTTGGCCCTTCGGGCCAGGTGAGCCAAAAATACTGCTACACTCCGATTCGTTTACATCAAATTATCAATATTGGTCACAGAAAAAAGATATATACTAATGTATTCCTTTATTATTACTGATGTGTCATATACAAATATATTATTACTAAACTGATTTCATAAAGATATGTCAACACTAACATTGTCCTTTTATTTATCCGTATGTATTTTTGCTGTGGTGGTTTAGTAATTAATCCGTTATCTCATGGTTTCTATACGGCAAATACTATTTTGCGAGGTATTTCTTTTCTTGCGTTAAGGATGCATTGTGGGGCGTTAAGGATTAAGCATTGTTTAAGTTCTTACTATTACTTACACATTGTTATACCATTGTTGTTTTTAGTAAGTTGTTACGTAATTATTATTACATACATGTATTTTCAAAGGGAAGTACACAACGGATGCCGCCTACGATGTTTCATTTCTGATCAAATATTATAAAGTTTGCCCATCCCCCTCCCACCCTCCTTCCCCAGGGGGTAAACATGATACCCTAGGATCATAAACCTTTAAAGACCCTTCCATCTATGAAGAGTGTTTGATTCTATCATATCTGGGTCTTCGAGAAGAAGATTTTTGAAATTTCAGTCGATTCAACCCCTTTTGGCCTCGCCCATCAGCCCCGGGGGATCAGTCAGGGCTGATTTGTGCATACCATCAAACTGCTATCAAATACTAATAATGCTAATCCAAATTGAATTACTTCCAATGGAAATTAAACAAATGTTGGGCCAAACTGTGATTTTCCTATATAAACTAGAGTAAAGTTTCCCCCCTCCCCAGGGGGGAAACGTGAGACCCCAGGGTCGAGAAATTCAGTTTTGGTAAAGCACCTTAAGACCCTTTCATCTATGAAGAGTATTTGATTCTACAATATCTGGGTCTTGAGATGAAGATTTTTGAAATTTAAGTCAGATCGACACTTTTTGGCCCCGCCCCTTCGGCCCATGGGGGCTGGGGACCAAATCGGCGACTTTTTTGTTGACCTTTAGCCATGATAGGTTTCTGCAAAATTTCATTGAAATTGGTTCAGAGGTTTTGGAGAAAAAGTCGAAAAGGTAAATTGTTTACGGACGCACGACGGACGACGCCAGACAAAAGGCGATCACAATAGGTCACTTGAGACTTTGTCTCAGACTTTGTCTCAGGTGACCTAAAAAGTTGACGTCGGACAGACGGACAGACGACGGGCGCCGCACTATGGTATTAGCTCACTTCCCCTTCGGCAAGCTGCAAGGCGTATAGTTCGAAACAATAACATCAGAAACTAACTTTTTATAACTGTTTCCATTACGTTCCTACCGAGGTATTGAAGATTTCAAATGTGTGCATAAACGTTTGAAAACTGAAAATGAAAGGAGCATTTTTAGGACCAATCACAGTTTTGTTATTCCAAGATAGTCTATACTAAGCTAGTTTTGTACATTTGGAAAATTCCAACATCTACCCTACACTGTCAGGGAAGTTCATTTATCGGCCCTAGTTTGATAAAGCTTGTCGAAATGGCCAGTGCCCTTGAACAATTTTCGTTAATGACGTGATCGAGGAGAGAATCAATGGAAGTAAAACAGTATCTTTGTTGTGCATAATAACGAAAACCGACCAAATCCCGAATGGGCCCTTATATGTGGCGGGAATGCGATCGCTATCTGCTCGGCCCCTCCCATGGGATGTGTCACTAATATTGTGCTGTATTTTTGTAACATACATATACGTGTATTTATCAAACGAAACAGTATCCAAAAGTAAAACAAATGGCATGTTATACTAGTGAAAGTTTTGTCTTATTTTTGAATATAAGAAAAAATGTAACAAAAGTTCTATGTTTCATGTTTCCATTGCGTTGGGAACGTAAACATCAAATATAGGTATACATACATTTCATTATGAGATAATCAAACCAACTAGAATACTAATACAGGGTATATAGCTTGTCTGTCCTGCTCACTTGAAATGCAGTTTCTTATCTTTATATTTTGTAAAGGACTAATAGAGTTCATTTTGACCTGTAGCCTGTTTCGGTTTTTGCTCCCTGCATTCGACATAATGAATGTTTAGAAAGTTGAATTATCTCGTATTTATAGTGTTAATTATCAGAAACAATAACTAAAGAAACAATTCAAATACAGGTCATTATTAACGTGTTGTATTTACAGTACATACGTTTAGAAACACCTAATATTTGCCCTGTACATGTATGTATTCCTGAGATGTGCTCATATTAACGCCTAGATTCGATGAGTTATTGGAAAGTAAGGTATAAAAAGTCATACATTTAACATTATATATCAGAGTATCTCTGGTTTTTAAAAGGTTAATTTGTAGAAATAAATCATTCAGACTCTAATCACAAATCATTGCAATAGTCCTATTGTTACGGTTAAGTGCTTGTCATTGTCCGAAACAACAAATCGTCCGTGTCAGTTAAGGTAGCATTAATGACAAACAAACTTCTGAATCTCGTTCCTGTATTATCCAAGATGAAATCGTCACCGACAGTGAAAAATGATGTTTACTTACGGTTCTTCTTGTACGACGACTCCCGTCAATTTCTTGTCCCCCGCGCCCGACTGAGATCCGTTGGTGCCCTTAACAGCTAAACTGTAATTATAAAGCCTGAGATTGTACATTATTGTCAGTGGGGAGTCAAACTGAGTCACACACAAACACATTACTGCATGCTACTTTTGGGATTTTATCAAAACTAAATTTTAGAATATCTAAATGTATACAAAAAATGCCATCTATAGAAACTGCCTTTGTGTACGTACAATGCAGCCATGTTTTCAGAGTCTGTAGAGGTCAGAACACTCTTCTGCTCGTAAAAAGCCATACAGTTGTGTCGGTTAGAAACAGCTTAATATCATTTTAAGTTGTTCTGACGGCGAATATCAGAAGTATTGTTGCATTTCAAAAGCTTAAGAGTCTGTTTGTCGCAAAAATCACCCTGCTATCACAAGCAGTGGTTTGTTTCAAAACCCGTAACTCTGTGTGAGTCAAAAACAGTGCTATGCTAACAAAAGCTGCAGTGTCTGAGATGTGATAAGTAGTATTATGTCAAAACAGTTATCTAGTTCGTAAAGGTAAGAACCAGTCTGATGTTGTCACAAGCTGTTGTGTCTGTGAAGGTCAGAAACACTGTTCTGTTTTCAAAAGCGATGATAATTCGTTTCAGTCACAAAAAATGCTATGATGTCATAGGTCATCGTGTCTGTTAAGTCAGAAGTTGTGTTAGGTTCTCAAAATTTGTCGAGTCCATGTAGTTCAGAATCAGTGTTACGTCTCAATAGTTGTCGAGTCTGTGTGAGTTTTAAACAGTGTCATAATCTAAAAATGTTCACGTCCGTGAAGATATGAAGCAGTGTTACGGTCTAAAAAATTGTCGAGACCGTGTAGTTCAGACGCAGTGTTGCGTCTCAATAGTTGTCGAGACCGTGCAGGTTAGACGCAGTGTTACGTCTCAATAGTTGTCGAGACCGTGTAGTTCAGATGAAGTGTTACGTCTCAAAAGTTGTCGAGACCGTGTAGTTCAGATGAAGTGTTACGTCTCAATAGTTGTCGAGACCGTGTAGTTCAGAATCAGCGTTACGTCTCAATAGTTGTCGAGACCGTGTA